AAGCTATGTTTACATTTGACCCAGATACAGAATCGCCTCCCCCTAAACCACCCTTACCTCAAGGGGCCGGGGAAATTCTACCAAAGTAAGTTTCATATTTATTCTTCTTTATTTCTTTCATCTTTGGTTTCACAATTTTTCATATCTTATTATATCTGCTGTTGTTGGACAGGTTGGTTTTAGATTCGACCATTTTCATATTAACTAATGAACATTTACTACTAGAGTAGAATTAATATTTATTTATCATGAACAGTTTCCATTGCCCTGTCCCCATCCCACCATCAACAAGGTTATAAGATACTTTCACTCAAATATCACTGTATTTAAACATCAACTAGAAGATTTCCTATAATTATTGAAATTAATATGCAGAATTACAATAACTTGAAATTCCATATATTTTTTTTTAAGAATCATTGCGTTAATTTTGTTTTAACAGCAACTACAATCGTTCCATAATTTAATGACTTAACCTTGAATTGAATTTTTATTTTAGAATCATGAAGAATGGAAGTAACGATCAACCTCCACCATTACCAGAAAAAGAAAAACGTCATTCATCATCCAATTTATCTTTCACGACCCCTACAACTTCTCCTCGAGGTTCACTTCTTAATAGTCCATCAACAGAGTTCTCCTTTAACAGTGGTGTCATGTGTTCCCCTTCTCCCAGAAGCTCGTCACCAATGGGAAATTCTCCGGCAAGTAGCGTGTCATCAGGTCTCAACCAATCAACAGAGGAGCTGCCGTTGTCTGGTAGTCGAACGTACACCAAACAATCTTCAATGTCACGTGTCACGAATATTCAATCAAGTGTCGTTGTGTCGTCGAAATCTTCCTGTAAAACTGTCGAAGATATTAACAAACTCACATTTAAAATCAATAAGCTGACGTCAAACATTGATGCAGTGCCGCCACCTTTACCAAATAAAACACGAATAAACAGACTACTGTCAACGTACGATAATATTCCATTTGATGGAACGGCCATTACTGTTTGTAGTTCCTCTACAAGTTCAAGCTCCTCGCGAACTGTGATCAGTCGAACCTCCACCTCGAGTTCATCTTTCGAGGCCGCACAAAACGCTCTTCATTCACAATCCATGCAGACGTTACTTCACAGTCAACAGAACTCTCACAGTGCTTCTTCCTTCTCGACAGATCGTACCAGCTCTCAGGAAACTTATTCAAGCTCTGAGACGTTCTCATCCACAAGTCATTCTAGCCTGGAGAGTTTACAGAAAGGGGGACAACCCCCACCACTTCCTCCCAAGTTGAAGCATAGTAAGTATCTTTCTTATTCTGATTTGAAAATTGACACGATGCTTAATATGATATATCTGTACTTAAATTAAAATCAAATCTTCAGTTTGGTTCAAAAGATGGACAAACTTTATTGATTATCATAGCAGCACCATCACTTAAAAATAATATTTCTATTTGATAAAGCCAAGAAATAAGATTTCTAAACGTGCCCTCACACCATAGTAATCACCAGTTGCATATGGTTACGAAAAATGAAAGTGGCCATGATTTCCAAACGCAACTCAATTCAGTTGCATGAGAGTTTGAAAGATGTCAGCACTTCTTATTTACAACCATATACAACTGGTGATCACTATGGTGTCAGGGTATCTTTTAAAATCTTATATCTTCAATGTCCTAGTTGAAATATGAATTAATTGATTAATTAATGTTTTATTTGTTCATATATAAATTATCATCATCATCATCATTTTAGCATTAATTATTGCATTTCGCTTGTTGTGTATTTATATTGTATATGTTATATTGCTTAATCAATATCTATATCTCTCTCCTTACTACTCTTGTTTTCAAAACTCAATGGCAAGTTTCAAAAGTTTGAAAATTACATGTAGTCCATCACAATTTCCCTTATTGCACACAGCTTATAGTTATCTAAAAAGTTCAACAACTCTTTGTCCGTATTTCATTCCTTCAAAAAATTATTATTTGCCTGTATCACACACTATCAAAACTAGATTTTATTTCTATTGTATTTCTATGGAATGTTATTGTCTGTTTAAATATATTGTTTTTACTAGATTCCAAGACAGTTGATATCAAATATAAGCATGTACTTATATCTTCAAATTATTTAAATATTGATATCTGTAATAATATCTGTATTATTATATAGCTGTATATTATCTCTCTCTCTACTTTTAAAATGATGATATTGTAAATTCTAGATTTATTTAATTGAAATATATTTTATTATATTATATTATGTGCTACAGTAAAGCATTTTTTACTAATACTGTATAATTCCGAATATAATGCGCACCCGTGTATAATGCGCACCTCTTCCTTTTCCCATTAAAATCGGGGAAAAATCCATTTACCCATGTTTAATGCGCACCCCTAAAAAACTGTGCATTGTATTCGGAAATATACGGTAGATGCCTTCAATATTCTCTATATAAATCAGGGACATGCTGTTAAAACATCGTAACTTTAAGATAAAATTATAAGCCTTTGATATTATTATTGGTTTGATATTGGCCAATCAGATTTCATGAAATAAATTATATTAGCTGGTTAAAGTCCGTATGACAACATGTCCTGTAGAGCTGCTAGCTTGAAGAATTTGTTCATAATGGAAAATTAAAATAAGAATAATCTTGGAATAATTTAGCCTAGAGCATTTCAATCATTAAAAGTTAAACATACTAAAATATGGCAACAAACAAGCAGCCCTCACTTTTTATCTTATATTTATATCAGTATTATTGCTTGCTTATTGTGATCTTCACAATGTCAGAGTATTACAAACTTCAGACTTATACCTTGACTGTAATAACCATTATTCTTGTATCTCAGAATGATTTCATTGGATTGTGCGCCAACAATTACAGCCAATTAGAGCCCCCGATTGAAAGGATGTCAACATTATGACTTTCTGTGGAAGTTTCTGGTTTTCTGTATTTGATAATGTACAATCTAATCAAATGGCTTTAGTTAAGAATTTATATGATAGAAGAATATTGGCGACTGTAGTCGAGGTATAAATACGAAGTTCGAAATACCTTGACATTGTGATGATGGCTCACTGCTTATTGTATTGCTTATTGCTTACTGCTTATTGCTTGATATGCATCTTCATTTTCTCCTTTCATTCCGTATATTCACAGTTAATAATTTTGCAGTCCATGCATACATGCAAATGGTGGGATCGTACACACAACCACAGGCCCTGGAGAGTATCTCCCGTCATTCTATCAACTTCTACGAGAGTCAATGGCAACAACACCAGATGGAGCTGTTCAATTACCCACGATCCAACACCATCAGCGTGATCTCTGATATCTCCAACTTCAGTTCGGACACATCGTTTAGCAGTGGATCACCTGACATTTTCCTAGGGTTACCAGCACTTCCTGTTAAAACTAGAAAGGTGAGAGAAAACTTTTTGAAATAAAGAGTACATCGATGTGGGTTCTTTCTATCATTGCAAAGCAGAATTCGCCAAGCGTTGGATTGTTCACCCACCAACAGGGAACGTGAGCTTGGTTTAGACCGTCGTGAGACAGGTTAGTTTTACCCTACTGGTAGGGAACTCTTTACGAACGAGCGGCTGCAAGCGGGTAGGACTGACTAGTACGAGAGTATAGATGTGAGACAAGATAGTTTTTCCCATTATGGTAGACAACGTTTAAGATCTTAACTAAAAACAGGGAGGTGTATGGAATAGTAATACAGCATTGAATGATGATTATTTCTCTATGGCTTTTTGATGGCTAAGCAATGATATTGTTTTCTATTGCGTTTAAGAATAACGTTTAACAGATCAAAGTCTCAATGATTTGTAGTTGTATGGAATAATAACAATGAACTATTTATTTCAGTATATGAACCGTCAAAGCCAGGGCTCGATCATCTCCAGTATTTCTGACTCCTCGGCCAGTGATTTACGGGATAAAACAGTCAGTTTAGTTGAACCATCTATAGCACAGCCTGCGTCTTCTGATCTGTAAGTAACAAAATCAACTTTTTTTGGTGTAGTCAGTGACAAGCCAACGTTTAAAGCTCAGAAATAGCAATTTTTCATCAAAACTTTCACTTTTAGGTAGTCCTAAGAATATAGTTATTTGATAGTTCTACAGCCAAATTTCAATTTTTTCAACTTTGTGGAATTTCATTGTTGTGTTGCTATGTTTTTGCTCATTAGACTTTCACTTTTAGAGAGTTAACATAGCTGAATTTCCCTTTTACTTCTATTTAGATATTGGAAATTAAAGAAAAATTTGTTAAATGAGATTTAAGGGATTCTCATATTTTATTGGTGGCTTGTCAACTCATCTCCCGCTAATTCTTCGTCTGTGATGATTTTGATATAGAAAACTTTAAACCTCAAATTTCCGTATTTCAGTGATATGAAAAGAGCGTCTGCACCAGCTAATGTGAATGTGGAAGCCATTTTACCCCCAGAGACAGACGACACTAAGAGTGAAGCAGACGTCCCCAAAGATTCTGACTCTGCGTTTGGTGAACCGAGACCACTGGACGATGTGGATGTTTCAGATCAGCTCATCAGAAAGAAAGAGGTACTGTATTGATTGTTTATTACACAACGACTAATCTAAACCTCGTTTACAAAAACAAACAAAAAATCTAGACTGATAGATATCATGGGATTCTTTGATGAAAGGGGCAAGGTTTTAAAAACTCAATGATAATTGTTGATGTTCTCAAATTTAAATAAATTACATTAAAATATTGATTTATGGGCCATGGTTTGCATTCTGATATTAAAATGTAATTTTTGTTTCCAAAAAATTTAGAAAACCTCTTTATAATCCCTTTAACCAAATGCTATGCGTGGGGAACATTAATCTGCCTGGAAAGAGTCTAGCTGGAAATATAATTACATGTTGTAAAAGGAATTGAAAAACCACACAAATTTTGTTTTCAAGAAAAGTTGAAAGAAACTGAATTGTGGTTAAAGGGAGATAATTCATTATAATTATATTATAAAGGGAGAAGATGGTCCGAGTATACGAGGTGGAATGGTGGACGCTCTAGTTGTTCATGCTACAGCTGCCGGCAAAACAGGTAATAACATTGACCTTTAACCTCTATCTCACCTTGACCTCTCCTTCAAGTAACCTTCAATTATTTCAACAGTGAAATGGAATGACTTCATCAATCTCCTATATGATGATATACTACAGTTAAATACCTACATTGTTTTAAATACTCCAAGAAAATGCGGAGACAGATTTTGTTACTGGAATATGGTCGGCTGTATTTCCTGTATCAGTTGATAAATATCAATTTAAGCCATACATACCACTTATCAGAATTAAAACTTTAAATTTAGATGACTATATCACTTTACGTTTGGTAAATAATTGAAGGTACCTTGATAGTAGATAGATATTGTAGTATAGTTTCCAGGTAGAGAAAAAACTCAGCATTTTGTCCTCCTGGGGCATGTTTGATACAGTGAATTTCTAATCCAGATTTAATGTTATAAAACCCAAATAAAATTATTTGTTGTGAATACTTCTTGAAGGTCACATTTGTACAGAAATTATGTACAATATTTCTAGCCTGAAGTTAGAAAATATGGCATTTCCATTTATAGTTTTCTTCGCATCTGGATTGGATTTTCAAGCAATCAAACAGACCTTTTCACTTGGAATCGTGCATTATTTCAGAAATCAGAACTGGGCCCAGTTCCACAATAAATCTAATAGAATTTTGCATTAAGAAATATGATACTTAAAACAAAATTGTTTGTCAGATTTTTTGTGGATCAGAACCCTGACGCAGAATTTGTTTTTTTTTTTTACACAAATTGCATAAAATTCATTGCATTTATTTTATAATGTTCATGCCATTTGATTCATATATTCATCACACCAGCCTTCTGTTATGTCCCTCAAATCAGACATTACAGCCAATTATTTTAGGCTCTCTTTGATGCCAATTCTGTTGTATGAATAGACATATCTTCAGATTTCAAACTTCATCCAAAATGTATAAATAGAAGACGGTCCGGGCATGTTTTATCATGAATGCAAATCAATTTAAATCTTAAGACCTAAGAGCATTTTATTTAAATAAAGTTTTTTCTTGTGAAGGCTCCGAGAGAGATTTATTGAATGAAGAAGGTAAGCTTAGAGTCGTCTCCCTTTGTTTCAATGTCCGTCTGCCCAGCCTTTTTGCTTCTTTTTTTGAAATCTTGATATTGTGATTTACTTTTTGCTTTTTATTTTATGAAAATGATTCTTTTTTGACAATTTTTTTAAGATAAAAGAATGTTTCTTTCAATTTTTGACTTGTCTGTTGGCATTGTATGGAATTCTTACTTTTCAAACACGTCTGGACAATCTATCTAATTAATCTTTCCCTGAATCTAAATATTGGAGCAAATAGCACCCTGTGCATCCTCAAAACACAAATCTGAATTGAACACAGTCATTTCACAAACTAGCACATTAAAATCATACCATTACCTCCCTTTGGTACAAGTTATCCCCCTTTTCTTATGCATTTTTATGCTTTTGTTCATTATTTTTAGTTGCGACATCTCCGTTTTTTCATCTTTTTTTTTTAGCATGTTTTACATTGAAATTGCATGATTGATTTTGTTGACTTTAAGATTCAATTTTTAAAATTTTTAAAATGTTTTTAGGTTTGTCGTTGTGTTGTAAGCTTTATTTAGCAGTTGAAATATAGTCACTGGGAATTATCAAGAAATTGTGTGTCGTGGAATCGTACACTTTTATTTTGTCTTAGCTTAGTCTAAAATGTGACTACAGCTGATCCAGAGTCCGGAGTGTTATCTCTAGATTGTAAATAAAACTGGAGAGAAACTTGTACAAAAATATTAGGAGGCAATTAGAAGATAAATGTTTAGATAGAAGAATATGTATTGTAAAAATGGATAGAAATATATAGGTCTTATTGTCGCTTTCATTGTTGTGAATTTTGTTTTACCAGAAGAAATGAATTGGAAGTATTAATATTCAAATGTCAGGTTTAATACTAATGATGTTTCTATTGAGAATACGTTTTGTTACCGTAGTAACAAAAATAATACTAAAACTTTAATTTATAATATAATATGTCCAGCAAACATTTAAGTTATACTGTTAGTCTCTATTACTGATTACTATGTTTTTAAAACAGTTCGTTGGCACGACAACTTTTGATACATTGTACAATATTCTCTATCACCAGAATTCATACTTGATGATTTAATGTTAGTTGGCATGACAACTTGTCATATTTTGTTTAGAATTCATATTATTACCAATATTTAATGACTTCAATACAACTAGTAAGATTCAGATTTATATCAAGTTCTGCTAGAACTTTATCAGCCAGACAGCCAATTTACAATTATTACATTAACTCAAGGTGCAAGCCTGTTCCATTCTTCCTTTTATATTTTATGATGAAATATATATTCCTTTTTCATTACAGAATTTATTTATCAAGAAGCGTTCTTAACAACATATCGAACGTTTTTATCACCGAAAGAATTGATTGAGAAATTATTATACAGATTCTACAAGTTTCAACACGCTACAGATTCTAAAGTTAGACTGGCAAAAAATTCATTTTCACTCTTAATACGTGTTATAGATGAATTAGGGTAAGTACTTGGTGTTTATATTATAGAATTTAGGGAATAGAACCTGGGGCCTTATTCTTAATATAGTTTAGTGGTTCAGTCATCTGATTGGTCAATCACTAAAAATTGATTTTAAATTTTGTTTTTGTTATCCAATCAGATCACTGTATTTCTTAAAAACTGGATTTTATTGAAGTTAAGTTTTGGAGAATAAAGCCCAATCCAGTGGTTTGGTGATTTCATAATGGCTCATTGTTGTAAATGTGGTCTGATAGGAAAGTGTAAGAGTTAAGTATGAGAGGGGAAGATATCACTGGTATATAGATAGAGAAAGTTTATGTCAGGGTTTATTATAGATGAATATTATGAATAAAGTGTATTGAAATTAATTTTGATAAAAATCCTATTATACATATTGAATTATTACAGTGCAATGGAACTGGATGATGAAGTAGTAAAAAGACTGATGGATCTAGTCTATGAGTTATTGTGTCAGTCAGATCTAGTTTTAGCCAGAATTCTACGTAAGAAAGTTATAGAAAAATGTGAACAGCGTGATTCTCATCAAGAACCAACTAATTACGGACCAATCAATCAAAACGTTTCTCTCGGCTCAACGTAAGTAGAACAATTTGCTAATAATATTAGTTAGGGCCAGGCAAATATTATCAGTTGTATTCAGATAAACATGATACAATAGAATCTGATTGGCTAGAAAATCTTAGATAGACATTATCACAAATCTAATTGATTTATCTTTTCTTATGTTAACAAATCTAATTTTTTGAAATTTTTCGAGTTAACAATCTTTTTGACAACAAGACATTGTTTTTTTTTTATTATTATCTTCTGTAAAATGTTTTAGTAAGTCATGACACTGTTTGAGAAGAGCAATTTTAACTTTATAAATTATTGTGTTATTGAATTAATATTTCAGGCCTGTTTTAGATTTGTTAAGTTTTAAATCTCATGATATAGCTGAACAGATGACTCTAATGGATGCTGAACTTTTCCAGAAAATAGAGGTATGTTTAATTCATATCTGTAAAGGGACGGATTCGCTATTGGTTTGACCAATCATACCTTGAGTCTCAACAACATTTGGTTAGCTAAGCTAATTAATAATAGTATTTACAGATGTGAGCCTTCAAATCCATGTGTGTCCAGAATTATTTGAAAGTTAAAAAGACACTGCGATGTAAAGTAAAGACATCTGTAGAAATAGGAAGAGATATTCCGGAGATATTTTTTTTCCATACATTTCTAGTACTTCTGAAGACCATTTACATATATCCAAAACCCAAATTAAATTTAGTATTTGTTGAACTTATGAAAGCGTAAACTGATATTTTAAAAATAATTCAGGAGAGAAAATGATCTAGTCATTAGAATGAGAATCTGTATCATGTGATGAATACGTTAAAGATCTTAGACAGAAACATCTAAATAGACAAATCGATTTCTTATCATTTTAATATGATACCTGATACTGAAAAATATAATCCAAATATTGTCCAGACATCTTGTTAGCACCAAGAAACTCTGATTTTATTTTACATCATTCCTTGTTTTCCACAGATACCAGAAGTTTTACTCTGGGCTAAAGAACAGTCGGAAGAATTGAGTCCCCATTTAACGTTTTTTACTGAACATTTTAACAACATGTCATTTTGGTGCCGTACTAGAATCCTGGAACAGAATGATGGAAAAGAAAGAGAGAAATATCTGATGAAATTTATTAAAATTATGAGGGTAAGAAAGAAAATAGTATTAATGATATTTTTAAAGGCTGTACATTTTTAATAAATGAATCTTGTAAACGCACTATTTGTAACCCCAATCTAAAAATGTTTTGTTCGTGTGTTTTGTTCATGTGTTTTGTTTGTGTGTTTTGTTCGAATGTTTTGTATACAAAATCTATGACAGACTCAAGTGATCTTCATGTTTACAAAGGTTGTATTTATTTTTTTGAAAATTATTAGGTCGAAAATAATAAAATAAACTGAGTTGTGAATGTTGTTTATTTTTCAGCATCTTCGTAAATTAAGTAATTTTAATTCCTACCTGGCCGTTCTCTCAGCTTTAGACTCGGCACCAGTCAGACGATTGGAATGGCAGAAACAAAACTTAGAGGTAAGAAAAAAATCATTTAGAGCTGGTTCCACTGGAATTATGAATGAAGATAACTTATTCAAGGTCATCAGAATTTCACACGCCAATCGTAATTAGAATCTAAAACTGCTATTTGTTGCATCTAACCAAGCAAATACCTTCATGTAAAGAACCAACGCTCTTATCATCTGAGCTATAGAACCTCACAAAGTTTAGATTTAATAATATGAACATCTCGGGCTTGGTTCTTGAAATATATTAAGTTTTTACTCTGATTTGATCTTATTAACATATTTTTAATATTTCAACTGGACAGAGCCTACTTTAATATAGCTTATAGTTTTGACATGCTACCTGATGAGTTATTCCTCAATTTTAAGACAGGGCAACCAATTGTATCAAAACTTATTCCAACTCAAAATTCATAAGCAAATTGCTCTTTTCTTGTTAAACAGCACTGTGAAGGTCCCTCAAGTGGTGTATATCTATGTAACAGTTATTGAAAAACATTCAGTCTTGTCTTCTTTAAGTTATTGACAATACTTGGCCTTTTTAGTACACACACCCAAATATTGTTATAGATATTCTGTAGAACTTAGGAGATATTTCATCAGCAATATTCATTCTTTAGTTAAATTGGATAAAATCTGAAGATCATCTTTCGCTTTTTGATTTGAACTTGTGTCAAGCCAGGCTTTTATTTTGATGATTAATATTAATAACATGATGTATGTTTCAGGCGTTGAAGGAATTTTGTTTATTGATAGATAGTTCTTCTTCATTCCGAGCATACCGACAAGCACTGGCTGAGACAGAGCCTCCCTGTATACCTTACTTGTAAGTTCATTAGCTTACGTTCATTTGGAAATTATCTTTTTGTGCCTCAAATTAGCAGACTAATAGTAAATAAGATTATAACTCAGATCTTATTGACATGAACCTCGTTATGATTATAAAGTATTCGCAAGTTATTTTCTTTCAAGTAAGATTATTATAATGGTAAGATTATTATAATGGTAAGATTATTATAATGGATTACAATGTTTTAAGTTTCCAATAATTCACTTATAATTGAGAGCAATGTTAATTGTTAGTAATATTATAATATTTGAAGAGATTACAATGGTTATTGGTTGTATATGATATATTTGATTATAATTTTAGGGGTTTGATTCTACAAGATTTAACATTTATTAATATTGGTAATCAGAATCTACTACCAGATGGCAGTATCAACTTCGCTAAACGTTGGCAACTGTTTAATATACTCGATAGTATGAGAAGATTTAAAAACTGGTAAGATTTATAATATATTATTGTGGTGGGGGTGGGGGTGGGGTCACTGGGTATCAGATATTTTCTTGCTTAGTGTATCTTATTCAGTGTATATTGACTATGTAATCTAAGTGACCAATCAGTAAACAGGATTATCCAGGAAAGATTTACCGAGAAGTTTGGCCAAGGACCAGCTGGTAGTCAAGATTAACATAGTTACAAGCTGCTTGTAAACTTGTGAGTTGGGTTAGTTGTCAACTCTCAAAAAAACTTTAAGTGGAGCGATCCGAACCCATGATACTTAATGGCCTAACAAGTCCAAATAATGGAATGGCTAAGATGGCCAGTCATATCTAAGACAGAAATATCTCCACAACATTTTTTTATCTATCCCTTAAATCTTTCTACCTCAAATCACGTCAGATGTTTTTCATCTTTTATTTATTTTTTTTTTCAGTAATTATGAGTTCAAGAAAAAGGAGCCTATTTTACATTATTTATCAAACTTCAAGGATCACGATAATGAGGAGACGCTATGGCAACGCTCAGAAAAAATCAAACCACGAGGTGTGAGAAAACGGGTAGAAGTGGATTGAGGTGACCTTGAACTTTGAACTATAACCTCTAACTGTGACCTTGATCGGAGTGAAATAATCTAATAACTGTGATATATAAAACATAATTCTATAGAAAAAAAAACCACGAACAAGCGTGATACGAAAACTTAGAAACTAATGTTCACTTGTGAAAAGAGTTTTAGAAACATGTTTTGTCTTGCCGAATGTTATCCATTGATATGATAGATTCAATTTTGTGTTGTTACAACAGAGTGACATAAACTGAAATATCTAAAATTATATTACACTGGCTTTTGTAAATTTGAAACAAGCAGGATTTTTAAATCGAAGAATAAGAAAAATATAAATGAAATAAAAGAAATATGGATACAAGTGTACAGCTTGGAATGATATAAGGAAAGGAGTGTATAGATGACAAGTGTGCAATGGTGTAAATTTTGATCTTTCAGAAGTAACTTATGTTTATAATGTGGTAAAAAAGATCTAAAATAGTGCAAGGATATAATGTTGGTATGAATTGATAAAATGTAGTGTTTGGAGAAATAAAAGACTATTAAATCTACAATGTTTAAAAGACAGAGTTAGATAGAAGACAAGAAAACTATTCAAATAAATGAAATACTCGAAAAATGTGAAAAATCAAAGTGAAGATCAAAAACAACTGAAAACTGAGTTTAAACTAATATAATTATCTGAGTATATGTGACAATCTATCTGTATTTATTATAATACAACTCTTCTTTATAATAACTATTAAATATCATATCAGGAACTAGATTAAACTATCATAATATATATAATATAAGTCATAATCAATTAATAATGCATAATTTGATCAAACTTCTAGAGAATATGTCATAAACTTGTTCTAACTGGGTAAACTTATAAAGTTAAAATTTAAACTGTGTTTTGATTGAAGTGACAATTTTAATATATCATCTACATTAAACTAACAGCAAAACGTTGGATTTATAAATATGATCTCTTAATGGATGTACAAAACATTTTTAATGAGTCTTTTGTTGTTGAAAGTTCATAGAAAAACTATGTTTAATAGGATAGGACCGACAAATTAAAAACTATGTTTAATAGGATAGGACTGACAAATTAAAAACTATCTTTAATAGGATAGGACTGACAAATTAAAAACTATCTTTAATAGGATAGGACTGACAAATTAAAAACTATCTTTAATAGGATAGGACCGACAAATTAAAAACTATCTTTAATAGGACAGGACTGTCAAATTAAAAACTATCTTAAATAGGATAGGATTGACAAATTAAAAACTATCTTAAATAGGATAGGACTGACAAATTAAAAACTATCTTTAATAGGACAGGACTGACAAATTAAAAACTATCTTTAATAGGATAGGACTGACAAATTAAAAACTATCTTTAATAGGATAGGACTGACAAATTAAAAACTATCTTTAATAGGACAGGACTGACAATTTAAAAACTATCTTTAATAGGATAGGACTGACAAATTAAAAACTATCTTTAATAGGATAGGACCGACAAATTAAAAAGTATCTTTAATAGGACAGGACTGACAAATTAAAAACTATCTTTAATAGGACAGGACCGACAAATTAAAAACTATCTTTAATAGGATAGGACCGACAAATTAAAAACTATCTTTAATAGGATAGGACCGACAAATTAAAAACTATGTTTAATAAGATAGGACCGACAAATTAAAAACTATCTTTGATAGGATAGGACTGACAAATTAAAAACTATCTTTAATAAGATAGGACCGACAAATTAAAAACTATCTTTAATAGGACAGGACTGACAAATTAAAAACTATCTTTAATAGGATAGGACCGACAAATTAAAAACTATCTTTAATAGGACAGGACCGACAAATTAAAAACTATCTTTAATAGGATAGGACCGACAAATTAAAAACTATCTTTAATAGGATAGGACCGACAAATTAAAAACTATCTTTAATAAGATAGGACCGACAAATTAAAAACTATCTTTAATAGGACAGGACTGACAAATTAAAAACTATCTTAAATAGGATAGGACTGACAAATTAAAAACTATCTTAAATAGGATAGGACTGACAAATTAAAAACTATCTTTAATAGGATAGGACTGACAAATTAAAAACTATCTTTAATAGGATAGGACCGACAAATTAAAGACTATCTGCATGTACCTAGTTAAAGTTTTAACTTGAATGTTTTACTAATAATAATATTTACTAACCATAATAATAACCTGTATTTATCATGATTGTATATAATTATTACAACTCTTGTTATTTATAATATTGTATATATTAATTAATATTTATTCATTAACTTTACATCAGACAAAACAATAACAAGTTGACTAGACTAACACAGGTTGAATTGTGTTTTGGATAACAAACCTTCATAAAGACTGCAGATTGAGAAATGTTGTAAATTGTATGAGATTATCAACTGAAAAAAGTTATATTAACTTTATATTATGTTCACATGTTAAGGAGTACTGATTTCATTTCATACTAGACAATAAACTGAAGTTTGGCAGTCATCGTCTATCTAAGACAATCAGTCTTAATACAATTTGATAAAAAAATTATCCTTAATACTTGAATTAAATCTGACAGTACCAGAACGGCAGTGTGGAGATAAAAACTTTCAGAATTTGGATTCAAAACGATATGTAAATTGTAAGTGAACTTATGAAGAAAGAAAAATAACCTTACCAAGATATTTCGTTAGTTTTGTTTAGTTTTTGTCTGACGCTGTATATAATTATAGAATAGGATTTTAATTCAACGTTTGGAGCTTACTATAATCTTCAATAATATGTAAATATATTTAACTTGAACTCTTGTGCATGGATATGTATTATGCAAATATGTGTGCCTAAGGGTTTTGATAATTTTAATAAATGCGCATATTAAATATGCTAATGAGCTATGTGTCTGTTGATTGTTAATGTGTATAGATTGAAGTGCCAATATTAAATTTTTAATTGTATGAAATATAGTAGGTCAATTGAAATTAGACCAAACTTTCGTTCTCGTGGACTGTCTTTAGACCCTAACTGAAGTGGCTATATTAAAAATAAAAGCTAGGAATAAACAGAATGAAAGTTTGGTGTAATTTAAGTTAGACTAGTAGTAAGTTAGTTATGTTATACCACACGTTAGATTTGAATGTAAATTTTTATTTAAACTAACAGTGGGCCGCTGTCAAAATACTGGGCTTTGTAGTACTGAATTCTGATTGGTTGATGTTATTTCAGATTCTAGCTTGATTTTCAAAACATCGCAATTTTAAAATCATAATACAAACTAACAGTACTGAACTCTGATTGGTTGACTTTATTACAGTAATTGACCAATCAGATTCAAGCTTGGGGTTAGAGACATTGCAACTTAAAAATAATACAGCACTGAATTCTGATTGGTTGATGTTATTACAATAATTAACCAATCAGATTTCTAGCTCATTGATAAAAATATTGTGATGTTTTTTTACTTTGGTAATCATTTAAAAGTAAAGCTGTTTCTGACAACAAACCAATGTCAATCAACATTTTAGTTTAAAAAAGACAGAAATTTAGAATATAATGCATACTACAATTTGACATATTACTCTTAAAAAAACCCTTGAATTATAGAAATCTATGCAAATAAGGAAATTAATCATGCTTTTTTTATTTCTTGCAAAACTCAAATCAGATTAATCTTTTGTCTACCCAGAATACCATTGCTTAATCAGATATATTTAATTACACCATAGTTTCAATCTAACTATAATTATATAGAAAGTGATATTAGATGATATATACTGACCAAGTTGTTTAACGTCATTAAATATATGTTCACGCAAATAATTGTTGATTTGAATTAGTTTAGTTTTAAAACGCCTATTCTACAGTTGCTGATATATTTTTATTTAAATACGTGAGATATTTTAATTCGTTTCTGAATATCCTTCATTTCATCCTGTTCTCTATTATTTTATTTTGGAATTAACTACAAACTCTAAAATCTGTGTTATCTCCCTTCTTGCCATTGATATATGTATATATTGTACCACGCCTTAATTTAATCCTTATAACTTCAAATTCCGGTATACTATCTTTCTCAGCTTTACGAGCTGAATTTCAGCTGTCTGTAAAACTAATCAGAATGAAATTTTGATGCCATGTTTATCTGTAATATAAGAATATATTTTAAAAGGTGAATGTAAAGACAGTTTGAATATTATTTAAATTTTTAATGCATTTATGACCTTTGGGCTCTTAATCAAAACATTTACAACATCTAAGGTTTCCAGCTCATTGTTAAAACAGTCAGTAATCACTGCACATTTCAATATACTTGACTATATCTTATAATTTACTGCATAATACAGAGAAAATTAGGGTTTTTGAAATGAAATAAGTGATCAGTTTATATAGCCCTAGGCCTACTGATGACTATAAACATTAAAATTGATTAGAGTTATTGAAATAAAGGGGAATTTTACGTGCTGTTCTGCTACAATTAGGACTAAATGAAAACATATTCAGTAATGTGTATTTAACGAAGATAAATTATCATATCAGCTTAGTTAATTAAATTCTATTTGTGTACATTATTCACTTGACTGTTGCAAATTACAAAGTTACTGTAACCATAGCATTTCTTGTGTTACTATTGTGGACTGGTTAATCATGCAATATTTATTTATAGACTAGAACTTCCAGTGAGATGTAGTTAATAATTGATATTTATTACTTGTGCTTTTGTCCTAATAAACATTTTATAAGCTAGTTTTTGTTTATTTTTAAGGCTTCATGCATTCAACTTCAAGTCTCAAGCCCAAACTTTGCCTTTTCAATACCATGATGCCCTTATCTATGCTACTTGATCATTATTCAACACTGTCCTCATCAATTCCCTCATTTTATTTTGCAAGTTTTGCTCATTGGAGTATTAAACCCATCATTGGTAGTAGCCTAAAATGGCTCAGTTGGAGAGATTGCTATGTACAATGCTAATTTTGTGGGTGCTTACTTGATTCCACAGCCAGTCCTTTTAAGACTCGGCTCAGTAGGCTATTAGCTACCACCCCAAATATAGAGATTCACCCAAGACAGTAGACTAAAGAAAACTGCAACAAACTTTCATTTCAAAGTCAAAATACAGAAAGTGAAAGTTTCTGTTTACAGTAGAAACCAGGTTAACCAGTCTCTCGTTATCAATGCAAATTTTCACGGCTGGTTAATCAAGTATTAAATATGGATAAAGATTTCAACCAATCAAACTGACTCTTGTCAATTTTCTCAACAACGCACATGCGCAGTAACAAAAGCTTCTTGTTGTCAAGTATGGAGTCGTATAATGTAAGTTTTGATAATTTTTCAAAGTTTTTTCGACTTTGCAGTGGTGTACATTGATCTGATTTTTTTGACAACTGTCTGACGTAAAAGCCGACATGCCTATTGACTTGTTTCCTAAATTCCAGATTCTAGAAAGCCTGGGAAAAGGGGCTCAGGGGAGTGTTTATTTGGCAGAATGTAAAGATGAACCTGGATCAAAATATGTTTTGAAGAAGGTATGATTTTTTATTTTATTCCTTGTTAAATTTTCCACTAAAATCGAAATGTATGGTGATGTTTATGGGTTATGGAAATAGAGTAGGCTACATTCAATATATTGATTTGTGCTAGGGCCAGTAGGGTACAAGATGAGGCTCCCCTGCTGAGAATGACATTATAATATATATTTTCATGGATTGTAAAGAACTGAATTATTACTTCATCTTTAGTTTAATTGATTTTGAGAGCATAATAAGAATCTGCCTACCATGTAATTCAGGTAGTGTAAGTAATTCTCTTCCATTTTAGTTTTGTTTAAAATTGAATTCATGTGATTTATTATAGATTGAATGCCATGATGAGAGTGAAGCTAACGAGGCCTATAGAGAGGTGAGATAATTCTCTTATCATTTACGTTTTAGATACCATTAATAGCTATAGTGAAACATAACAATTTATACTTCAATATACCTGTACTGATACGGCAAGGCAGATTAAGGCAAGGGATTTTGAGATGGTATTTTTCAGGCATCCAATGAATGAAAGATAGAATCAGTCTGAATATCAGTTATCACTTATGATATACTTACTCACTTATAATTGATATACTTAGCTATGTGAAATGTTCATTAGCTGCTACCAATGCTTCGCCAAAATGTTGTTTTTGATTTGGGGATCATTAGTGTTTGGTTTGTTTATTCTTACATTTAGAATTTGAATAAAAAATAGTTGTGACAGATCAATAAATGAAGCCTATGATAAGATAGATATTAAGATAGTTTATGAAGATGTTTATTGATATTTTCAGGCATTAGAACTACAGAAATTACATCATCCTTATATTTGTTCTTATAAAGATTTCTACGTCACCTGGGATAAATCAGTAAGATGATAATTTCTATATTCACTTCCTACAAACCAATGAAAACATGTATAACAACAGACTAGGGACTGTGTGTACAGTGGAGTGGACGCTTACGACCAGATCCCAGATTTCTTTTAATTGTATTGTTTGTATTTATGTTGTGTATAAATTGTTTCATGTGTGTAAGCTAATACGAGATCTCTCTTGTAGTAAAATGACCTGATTGGGATAATGAAAATAAATATATAATTATTAAGACATTAATCAGGCTGAACCAAGGCCGTTACGATACATTGGCAAATTCCCGCTAAATATATCATTAATTTGATGTTTACAGTATATAGGTGGTCACTATTTGAAGTTTACTGAAAGCATTGCAATAAAAGACATAGCTCATTTCAAACACAACAGGATTTTTGTCTCATAGAAAAAGGACATTAGTTATGACTAAGAGAATTATTGAAAGTAAAACTTTATCTCTATTTAATATATTACAGACGTCGTCAATGTTTCTATGTATCGTGATGCAGTATTATCTAAACAGTGATTTACAGACAGTCATTAAATCTTATCAAGATAAAAAAGACAAGATTGAAGAATCTACGGTTAAAAAATACCTGGGAGAAATTATTGAAGCGTTGATTTTTGTTCATAAGAAGGGAGTCATTCACAGGTATATTAAATATTGTTTATAGATATTTCTACTTTATGTCCATTAAAATTTGTACATTTTACTCAACATCTCTGCGCTCTGTAGACCTTGATTTTTGGGAGAGGGAGTGTGAAAAACTCTGTAATATACAGACAAGAGAAATTCAGACTAGATTCATACTTCTAACACCTGACATCTAGCAGTCAGTTTATTGGTGAGAGTCAGAATTATTAAACTTGTAAAATGCATCCTTAACTTAAACCCTGGGCATCTCATATTATCTCATATATTTCTATTATTGCAAGCAAACTTAGTCGTAACTTTTCTTTCTGAACAGCTGATGTCACTGTTAGGGTACAGAATTGCTAATCATTGCCTCAATGCATAATGTATTGTGATAAAAGGGATTTGATGATTATTTCGATATAGGGTACACTGTATCCTTAATGTTTTATAATTGTATATTTGAAGTAGTCACTGTGTGCTAGTATTTATCTATGTTTATATACAGAATGTTATTATATTCTAGAGATTTAAAACCCAGTAATATTTTCCTACAAGACAATCAGACTCTATGTTTAGCTGATTTTGGTGTAGCAACTGTTATGGCTGATGCTTGTACTAATACCAGAAACACACTTTGTAAGTTTATTATTATTATTCTGTTGGCCTTTAATAAATTAGAGAGCAGAAAAATGGGTTTATGTTTCACTTGTTTACTGGCTTGCATTGCCTCTGTAGGCCCCTAATACGTTAGAGAGCAGTAGAAGATATGTTGTTTAACAGTAGCTAAAGGTTTGACAAACGTGTCCAGACCTTTCAGATTGGTTGAATATTAAGACACTGTGCATGTGTATTTTGGGAACATTTTTAAAAGATTTTACCAGGATAAGTAATAGTTCACCTTCCACTGTTTAAAGCCAGTGACTGAACAGCAGGAGATGGTGTTATTCCTCAATGATGATATACATCTCAGTCTAGTAGTTTGAAATACTATAATAATAATTTTCATTATTTTGAGAAAAGTGATATTTGGGCAGTGGGTTGTATTTTATTTGAGCTCTGTACAACCTTTCTTTATGATGAAAATCAAGTGAAGGAAAAGTTAAAAGAAATAAAAGAGAGCCCGTTAGTTTTAGAAGATGTTTTTGAAGAAATAGCTGAATGTTTTTCGGGAGATTTGATTCGGTTAATTCGAGAAATGTTGAAACATTCCCATGAAAAACGTAAAACTACCATGTAAGTTTTCTTTTTATAGCTTGGAGTTTGTTGCCCTTTTTCACAGTTTTCGACTTACAGAATACAATGTCTCTTGGTAAAGTTTTGTAAAGTCATTGCTTGATAAAGACCGAAAAGTTATTTATTAAAGTAATTGTTATCTATATAATTGTGTCCAGTTATTCATACCCCAGTTACTAACTGCCACTTAAAGAAACTCTTACTGAGCTGTATCAATAGGTAAAGAAAGTTTTAAACAAGTGAAGCAAGTGAATTCTATATATCATGATAATAAAGCCTACCTTGGTATATTTTATAGAGAATTGTTAGAGAATAGTTATATTAAACAATGTCTAGAACTCAGTGATATCTATATGATAGATAAAAAGAGACGACAGGAAGAATCAGGCAGTACTGTTTGTAAGTTTTTAAATTCCATTTCTCTCTGTTTGTAAGTTTTTATATTCCCCTTTCTCTCTGTAAGTTTTTATATTCCACTTTCTCTCTGTAAGTTTCTATATTCCCCTTTCTCTCTGTTTTCACTGTTTGTAAGTTTTTATATTCCCCTTTCTCACTGTTTGTAAGTTTTTATACTTCCCTTTCTCTATGTTTGTAAGTTTTTATATTCCCCTTTCTCACTGTTTGTAAGTTTTTATATTCTCCTTTCTCACTGTTTGTAAGTTTTTATATTCCACTTTCTCTCTGTAAGTTTTTATATTCCCCTTTCTCTCTGTTTGTAAGTTTTTATATTCCCCTTTCTCTCTGTTTGTAAGTTTTTATATTCCCCTTTCTCACTGTTTGTAAGTTTTTATATTCTCCTTTCTCACTGTTTGTAAGTTTTTATATTCCACTTTCTCTCTGTAAGTTTTTATATTCCCCTTTCTCTCTGTTTGTAAGTTTTTATATTCCACTTTCTCTCTGTTTGTAAGTTTTTATATTCCCCTTTCTCACTGGTTTTAAGTTTTTATATTCCACTTTCTCTCTGTAAGTTTTTATATTCCCCTTTCTCTCTGTTTGTAAGTTTTTATATTCCACTTTCTCTCAGTTTGTAAGTTTTTATATTCCCCTTTCTCTCAGTAAGATTTTATATTCCACTTTCTCTCTGTAAGTTTTTATATTCCCCTTTCTCATTGTAATTTTTATATTCCCCTTTCTCTCTGTAAGTTTTTATATTCCTCTTTCTCTCTGTTTGTAAGTTTTTATATTCCCCTTTCTTTCTGTAAGTTTTTATATTCCCCTTTCTCTCTGTTTGTAAGTTTTTATATTCCACTTTCTCTCTGTAAGGTTTTATATTCCCCTTTCTCTCTGTAGGTTTTATATTCCCCTTTCTCTCTGTAAGTTTTTATATTCCCCTTTCTCTCTGTAAGTTTTTATATTCCTCTTTCTCTCTGTAAGTTTTTATATTCCCCCTTCTCTCTGTAAGTTTTTATATTCCCCTTTCTCTCTGTAAGTTTTTATATTCCTCTTTCTCTCTGTAAGTTTTTATATTCCCCTTTCTCACTGTAAGTTTTTATATTCTCCTTTCTCTCTGTAAGTTTTTATATTCCCCTTTCTCTCTGTAAGTTTTTATATTCCCCTTTCTCTCTGTTTGTAAGTTTTTATATTCCCCTTTCTCCCTGTAAGTTTTTAAGTCTCTGGCAACAATAGTTATCAAACTTGTTACAAATTAATTCTGTAATTGTCTATATCTGTATGTTCTAACAACAAACAACTCCACTATTATGTGATAATTATACTCGTATTTTCTTCAATTTTCAGCTGCCTTGTCACAAGAATCTCAAGGTTTGCTCTCGATACTGGAACATATTGCTAAATCTATTGATCACGAGGTACAAGTTCGTGATGGTTTACAGCAGCTTATTGGTCTAACAGATAAAGATACTGGTGTTCTATTGGATGATAGAAGTAAAAAATTGGTTGCCATGGCAATGAAAAATAATATCAATGATAAAGACATTCAGATTGCTGGATGTTCCGTGTTGAATAATCTCGTTCTTAAAGGTACAGTTTGTCTTTAATCATCATATTTAGTTGTCCTTATACCGGATCCCATCTAGTTTTAATAACAGGCCAGGAGCCAGGCTTGATTGTTTGAGCGGCAAGTTTTATATTCGGAGTAGTAATGGTGTATAGTACTAAATAACTAGTTTGTTGATAAAACATACTTTGTTTCTTTGTTTCAGCTGAGGGAGAAGACATTTTATTTTCATCAGAAATTATCTCAGTTATATCTTTTGCTATGAAGGTTTGAATTTTATATTCTCTGTTTTTTGACATATTTTTCCAAATAAATTGAACTCGTTGAGTATTGAACCACATTCAAAGCTGAGATATGGACTGAATGTTAGACAGGACCATGTCACCTTGGTGTATCAGGCCTAATTCTAACCTATATAAAATAAAGAGTCTATGTTTGTCTCCATGGGCTGAATGTTAGACAGGATCATGTCACCTTGGTGTATCAGACCTAATTCTGACCTTTGTAAAATAAAGAGTCTATGTTTGTCTCCATGGGATGAATGTTAGACAGGATCATGTCACCTTGGTGTATCAGGCCTAATTCTGACCCTTGTAAAATAAAGAGTCTATGTTTGTCTCTATGGGATGAATGTTAGACAGGATCATGTCACCTTGGTGTATCAGGCCTAATTCTGACCTATATAAAATAAAGAGTCTATGTTTGTCTCCATGGGCTGAATGTTAGACAGGATCATGTCACCTTGGTGTATCAGGCCTAATTCTAACCTATATAAAATAAAGAGTCTATGTTTGTCTCCATGGGCTGAATGTTAGACAGGATCATGTCACCTTGGTGTATCAGACCTAATTCTGTCCTATATAAAATAAAGAGTCTGTTTGTCTCTATGGGATGAATGTTAGACAGGATCATGTCACCTTGGTGTATCAGGCCTAATTCTGACCCTTGTAAAATAAAGAGTTTTTATCTTAATTATTATTATATTTCTGTGTGTTAAAGACAGAGTTCTATGTAACTCTACCTGAATTCTGATTTCAGCAACATATTAATTGTGAAGAACTACAACAGAAAGCAGTAACTTTATTGATGTCCATGTCTGCAAATGGTGAGTTTAATTTTTTGAGACACTGGGACCTTTTTCTTGAAATAAAATACATACATGCAAAACAATTCCAGTAACCAAGATCTTGTCCAAAGTATGGCAAAATCAGCAATGATAATCATCAGGTAAAATAGAATAAGCATGGTCTACTATACTGATCAAAATCAAAAGAAACAATCGGATTAATTTTCAGCCTTGGTTTATGAAGTAATGGGTAGGACCCTTGACTTTCATGGCGTCACAGTTTTTACAATGATTAGATATTATATTTTCAGCCACGGCGTCTGAAGTAATGGGTGAAGTAGGATGTATTAATAATATTTTATCAGCTGTAACAACTTTCCCTGACAATACAGACCTTGTATCTACGTGTTGTAGTGTTTTATGGTATTTAGCAGTTGATGGTTTGTATTCATTCAGACTCATTGGTCCCCTTTACTTGATCTCTTTCAATGGCTGGTTTTTATTTTGGATAAATTTACTATCTCATTCCAGCAGAGGTTTTCACAACCTGGGGGTAATTATTCTCAGGGTGGTAATTGTGAAATTGTTTGGGGTGAATGAGGCGTTTGTAGTCTAGCATGAAATTTTTGACCAACTATAGTTTAAGTTGTTCTATTCAGTCAGGCTATGAAAAAGATTGCAGGAAAAACTATTAGAGAAAATATTTATAGGGATCCTGAAAGTGTTAATACAATCAGAAAAGTTGAAAACCCTGTTTCAGAGCATTGCAATCTTGATGATGTTATTTTCTTAGTTACTGGTGGATCAAATGGTGTTTGTGGGTTCAAATCAAGTTTGTTGATGTGGAATAAGTAATATTTCTCATCATTTCAGTTGACCCAGCTGTAAATAAGTAAAGACAATAGAGTTAAGAAATGATAATTGATATTGGACGACACTTTCTCATGATTTGAGATATTGTCTGCCAGTAAGATTGAATAAGAGAAGGTTTATGATATCATACTCTACTGGTATTAAGACGATGTTTGGTAAAGCAATTTTATTTTTATTTCAGAAAATAACCTTCAGATCTGTTCCAATCAACAAGCGTTAAAACAAGTCTGTAAGAGTTTAGAAAAACACATCTCATCTCCTGACGTCTGTGAATCAGCTGCAGCGGCCATTATCTCACTGTCACTTGATGGTAAGGTTCAACTCTTTTCTCTTACTGATAACACCTGATGACTTACCTTTAAAGAATGGCTTTCGGAAATACTACCCTCCATTTTTTTTTTTTACTTTCGAGCTCGGTTTGAACCTATTTCAATTCTGAATTTTCTCTTTTAGGATAGGATAGATCCACAACAAACAGATCCACTATATCTATCGCTTATACGAATGTTCTTTGGTTTTTTCAGATGCTGTCTTAGATTATGTAAATGAGATAGATTGTGTCGGCCATCTTATACGAGCAATATCAACGCACGTCCGTCATCCTAAAGTAGTTAAGAATAGTTGTATGGCTTTAACAGGGCTGGTGGAATCGGATGGTTAGTACAACTTTTTTTCCTGTAATTTTTGTTTTTTGCATTTTCATTCAGACTTTCTCAAGGTTTTTACCTTGCCAGTCAGTTATTCGACACACTGGAAGGCAAAACTCTACAAATAAAGATACATAAATTGTGTCTGTGTCTGTTTTACAACAATAACAACAATAGATACCCATGTAGGGGAGGTAATTGAACATCATTGCGTACACGTCTTGCATTATCCTTAAGTAAGACATTTAGAAGTATCACAGCACATTAAGAGTTGTTTCTTTCTTTTTCTGAGATATGAACGCTTATTGTATGTTGGTTTATTTGATCTTTAATACAGAAGAGTGTGCTTATCGAGTTTTAACGTCTGAAGATAATGAAGGGCATTGTGGGATACCTGTAATTATCAAGGCGTATAATCAACACAAAGATAATGCTGAAGTCGTGGAGTCTATGGTTAATTTAATTGTTCAGCTAGCTAATTATGGTACGTAATCTTGTTTATATGACCACATTGTTATGTAAAGTTATGACTTGGGAATATGACAGAGACCTGGTCAAATGTTAAACAAATTTGTTGTGTAACTTTATATTGACAATATGGGGAATGAGTTTAAATTTGAGTAGTAACTCTTGATATACTGAAAGATAATTGAGTAAGTGTGTGTATCTTGGCGAGGGAGAGACTGCTATCCACATTCTGCACATAATATAACAAGAAGTGGCTCCAGTAGGGGTACAGTATGGCCTCTGGAAAATAGTTTGCACCTTCAATTTATTTTTTATTTGATTTTTATACGTTCTCGCCCCTTAATGTGTATCAGAATACACAATTCACTTCTTTTTTTCAAAATTTATCTTTAGAACCTTCTCTGTGATCTAAACCTTGATAGTTGTCGCCCCATCATGGCAGTCTGCCCCCCTATTGGTACCCCCAGTCTTGGCCAACCGTCGTCTCCATATAGTATTGCTTACATCCCAGATGACGCATAATTGAAGTGCAGATGACGGTTTCTCTTTTATCACAATATTTTGATGTGGGGCTAATTTGTGTTGATCCAGTTTTCTGCCAATGGAAGTCTCATATTTTAATATCCAAGTTAAAATGGATTTACTGGTTAATAATCTCAAATGAAATATTTATAGTTGAAGTAGGTCTGGACATGATCAGCTATAAGATGACTCAATATCTGGTTGAAATAAAGAGAAAGTTTTCTAGGGTAGAGGTGAGGTCTAGAAATGTGTGTCCTTGACCTCTAGAAATGTGTGTCCTTGATTTCTTTAAATGTCCTTGAACTCTAATTGTGTGTCCTTAACCTCTAATATTGTGTGCCATTGACCTCTAGAAATGTGTGTCCTTGACCTCTACAATTGTGTGTCCTTGACCTCTAGAAATGTGTGTCCTTGACCTCTATAATTGTGTGCCCTTGACCATTAGAATTGTGTGAAAACTGGTCTTTTGATGTATTCTTGGGATTTTGTTTTTTTTTTTTGGTATTTAATACAAATGTTTTTACATTTTCATTCTTATCTTTCTTTGACCTTAATGATATTACTCAATTTTTTTATTATTTCTTGTTTCTCCTGACTCCTAGTTATTTAACTTCTCTGCTGCTCTGTTCAAAATGAAAATCTAATGCCTGGGTTAGGAGGAATAAAATTTAAAAAAAAAAACAATCATTGATTTCATATTTTGTATTATCTTCACAATGTCAAGCTATTACAAACATCCTACTAATTCCTTGACTCCATTAGCCACCTGTCATGTATATTGAAGTTATAAATTGAAGTGATTTGCTTGGATTGTACGCTAGCACAAATAGCCAATCAAAGACCTCGACTGAAAATCTGTGAACACAAAGTCATAATGTTTACAGCCTTTCAATCGAGGGCACTGTCTTCGCTGGTGTACAACCAAATACATGGAAGGTGACTATTGCAGTCAAGGTATAAGTACTAAGTTAGTAATAGCTTGACTTTGTGAAGATGATTTATTATGCTTAGGTTAATTTTACCTGATACACCCTGCATTCGATTGCCTTTCTTCATTAAGAGAAGTTAGATCCAGAGGGTTAAAATAACTGATGTATTGAAATAACGAAAAACCCAAAATTTCCATTTTGAATTTGCAGTAGATGTATGTAAACCTTCATATGTTTTTTACAGCTTGATCTTTGCCTCCATCTTTTAGCTCAATTATATTTCTTGAAAGATTAAAGATGGGTTTCCTTATATTTTAGTGTCAAATTTAGCAATCTATTTGATTATGGTTTATCATGTATTCTTAATCATATCATTATGTTCTTTTGTACAGTCTGGAAAAACAAAAAAGACTATTTGACCTTTCTTGATTGGTCACTCATTGGAATTCTGCTGGTAATTCTCTTCTAATTTAGCTAATTATGAATTGATTATGGACATGTGAGACAAACTGGTATTTTTCCAATTTTTTTAGAACACCTCTACTTTCTTTTCATATAAGTAATCATTTATGAAAATAAGGGAACCCATCTTTAATACCATCTTCATCTCGTCCTCCATCTTTCTTCTCTATAACGTGTGGTGTGTAATTAGTGTGTGTTTCTGTTATTATATTTAGATGATGTAAATGCCGAGCTACGCTATTTATCTGTGGGACCTACTGTATTATCAGAAGTGTATAAACGTTTTAAACCAACAAGGGTAAGTGGGATAAACTGAGGCCGTGTTCTCCAAAATTTACTTTCTCTTTAGGTCGTGTTCTTTAAACATGAAAAGTCCCTGACTAAATAACACGACAGTTTATATTGAATTCGTGTTTTCTAATTGTATTATACTGAATTCGTGTTTTCTAATTATATTATACTGAATTCGTGTTTTCTAATTATATTATACTGAATTCGTGTTTTCTAATTATATTATACTGAATTCGTGTTTTCTAATATTATACTGAATTTGTGTTTTCTAATTATATTATACTGAATTCGTGTTTTCTAATTATATTATACTGAATTCGTGTTTTCTAATTATATTATACTGAATTCGTATTTTCTAATATACTGAATTCGTGTTTTCTAATTATATTATACTGAATTCGTGTTTTCTAATATACTGAATTCGTGTTTTCTAATTATATTATACTGAATTCGTGTTTTCTAATATTATACTGAATTTGTCTTTTCTAATTATAATATACTGAATTCGTGTTTTCTAATTATATTATACTGAATTCGTGTTTTCTAATTATATTATA